GAATGTTATCTCTCTGCTGTTGCATCTTTATCTTTCTGTTCTGTTTAATTATTTGCTTTGCTTAGTGGTTTTTTCCTTTGTGTATCTAAACTGTCTTTCAATATTTTTTGCAGGGTTGCTTTGGTGTTCATGAAGTTCTTCAGCTGTTCTTTGTCATGGAAGTATCGTATTGCACCATCTATTTTGAATGATAGTTTTGCAGGATATATCAGTCTTGGTTGGAAATCATTTTGCTTTAGGATCTGGAATACTTCACTCCATGCTCTTCTTGACTTTATCGTTGTGCTGAGAAGTCTGCTGTGATTCTGATAGGTTTTCCTTTGTAAGTGATCTGTCTTTTCTCTCTGACAGCTTTTAATAATCTATTGTGTTGGATTTCTGGGATGGTGATTATTATATGTCTGGGTGTAGTTTTATTTTGGTTATGACTGTTTGGAGTTCTATATGCTTCACTGATCCTGATGTCAGTTTCTGATCTCATGCTTGGGAAATTTTCAGCTATTACTTCTCTAAATATCCTCCTGACATCCTTCATGTTGTCTCCCTCTCTTTCATTAATCCCTATCATTCTTATGTTATTCTTCTTTGCATCGTCTTGCAGTTGTTGAATTGTTGTTTCCTGATTCCTTGTTATTTTCAAAAGATCTTTCCTTTCCTGTTCACTAGCTGCAATCCTGTCTTCAAGGTCTGAAATTCTATCTTCACTTTCATTAAGGCGGTTTTTACAACTTTCAGTGGAGTTTTTTATTTCCTGTATATCTCTGTGCATCTGCATTATGTATTCTGTTTGTTTCTTATATTGCTCGTCTAGGGATTCTATCTTTTTGTTTAGTTCCTCCAATTTTTTATCTGTGTTTTCTTTAGATATATTTAGAATCTCTTTCATTTCTTTTATCATTTCTTCTTTTATCTGGGAGATTATTTCGAGTTTGAATTTCTTTTTTTTTTTTTTTTTTTTTTGTCTTTTTCTTTTTATCGGTACCAGGGATCGAACTCACGACTGCCTGCTTTCAAGGCAGGTGCTTATGCCGCTGAGCTAAACCTCCAGCCCCTTCGAGTTTGAATTTCTTTAAAGCTTCCTGGAGTTGCTTGTCAATTTCAGTGGCTATTGTGTCCAATATATGAGGTGGATGGGATATATTTTCTTCTATATACAACGCTCCTAGGGTTTGTTGAGATGGGCTGGAGGTTTGAGGTTGTAATTTGGTCTTTCGTTTTGTCATTTTCCTATATTTCTGTGTTTCAAGTGTTATTTGAAAGCTTCCTCAGGATCTGTTGAAAATCCCCTTCTATGTTTGGAGCTACTGAGACTCTGGCACCGCGCTACCCCAAGCCATTGGGCCTACAGAACCAGTGGCCCTCCTCTGCCTGCTCAGAACTCCGCAGTTCCAGACAAGCTGGGCCTCAGGGACACTGTGTGCCCACCTGCCCCTTGGAAGCTCCACAGTTCTTCGATCGCAGCCGGGTTAGGGTACTCACCACAGGCCGCAGTGCCTCAGGCACCTGTGGACCCTCCCTGGTTGCAGAGATATCCACAGTCCTCCAGACACATGGAGAGGCCGATGCAGGCACCCCAGATCTGCCCAGCTCCTCCTCTGCAGACTGATGGCCAGGCGCTGCAGCTAAACAGGCTGGGCTAGGCTGATAGTGTGGGCCTGCCCACCCGTCAGGAGCTCAGCAATTCTCCAAGTGTAACCTGAATGGGGAGGCTGATGTGGAAGCCTCAAACCCACCTCTCCCCTTCACTGCACCTGGAAGCCTGGGGGAACTCCAGCAGTCTGGGCGGAGATATCCAGAGTCCACCAGACAGGCAGAGAGGCCGGTGAGGGCACCCCAGATCTGCCCAGCTCCTCCTCTGCAGACTGATGGCCAGGCGCTGCAGCTAAACAGGCTGGGCTAGGCTGATAGTGTGGGCCCGCCCACCCGTCGGCAGCTCAGCAATTCTCCAAGTGTAACCTGAATGGGGAGGCTGATGTGGAAGCCTCAAACCCACCTCTCCCCTTCACTGCACCTGGAAGCCTGGGGGAACTCCAGCAGTCTGGGCGGAGATATCCAGAGTCCTCCAGACACGCAGAGAGGCCAGTGAGGGCACCCCAGATCTGCCCAGCTCCTCCTCTGCAGACCGATGGCCAGGCGCGGCAGCTAAACAGGCTGGGCTAGGCTGATAGTGTGGGCCCGCCCACCCGTCGGCAGCTCAGCAATTCTCCAAGTGTAACCGGAATGGGGAAGCTAATGTGGAAGCCTCAAACCCACCTCTCCCCTTCACTGCACCTGGAAGCCTGGGGGAACTCCAGCAGTCTCCTGTTTTCTTTTCTTTTCTTTTCTTTCTTTCTTTTTTTTTTTTTTTTGGAGATAGGGTCTTGCTATCTGGTTCAGGCTAACTTTGAATTCACTATGTAGCCCAGGCTCTCAAATTCATGGTGATCTTCCTGCCTCAACCTCCCGAATATGTGTGCGCCACCACATCTGGCTAACCACATTTTCTCTAGGATTGGAAGGATTATATCTTTTGATACCACTTATGGCTTCTATCTAGATGTCTCCCCAAATTCTCATGTGCTCATAGTGAGGTTTTTGGGAGGTGACTGGATCATGGATGTGTGATACTGGATTAGTCCACTGATTGGTTTAGTACCATTTTGGGTGTGGATGATGGATTTACAGAACAGGATGCTCCAGCCTATGTGTAGGTGGCACCAACCAATAGACATATAGCCTATAAGAAATAAAAAAGAGGAAGAAGGAAGGCTTGCTCCTTCTTGCCTGCCATGCCATGCTATGGACTGTTTCTCCTTTGCCATGTTGCCCTGCCTTAGAGCCAGCTGACTATTGACTGAAATCTCTACAAGCAGTTAGCTAAAATAAACCTTTCCTCCTTTAACTTGTGGGTGTTCAGTATTTGTCCTAGCAATGAGAAAGTAACTAAGACAAATTCTGGTATGAGAGAAGTGGGGTCATTGCTGACCATGTGGTTCAGAATCCTTTTGAACTAGCTTGAGAAAGGAATTTGGAAAGGTTTGGAGTTGTTGGCTGGAGAAGCACCCTTAGAATGCTGTGAGCCAAGCTTGATGGAAGATTCTGGTCAGCACTTAGCAGACCAGAATTTCAAGAAGTATGCAGCCAGTAAAGAACAGGTGCAGGTTCAGGGAACAAGAATCGCATTGGCAATTGGACTCTGGCTATGAGTGTTGTGCTGTTGTGGCAAGTTTTTCTGCATTTTTCTCAGGCCCAGAGATTATGTGGGAGACAAATTAAGGAGAGTATACTAATTAATCTGATGGAAGAAATTTCTAAGCAGTCTGATTATTTTGTGTTTTTTCAGACAGGGTCTCACTATGTAGTTGAGTCTGGCTTTGAACTCATATGTAGCCTAGGCTGACCTCAAACTCACAGTGATCCTCCTGTGTCAGCTTCCCGAGTGCTGGGATTACAGCTGTGCACAACTACACCTGGCTAGGGGGTCTAATGTTGAGGTGGTAGCATGGGATACTGTTGGAAACTTTTAGTCATATCTGTGTTGAGAATCACAAACAAAGGGTTCAACAAGATGATTCAGAAAGTTTTGAGCTTGGTCAGAAAGAAAGCTCTGGTAAAGTTGCAGCCTACAACAACAGAGCAGTGGAGAACTTGGCTGCTGAGAAAGAGCAGAACAATAGAAAAGATGACCTGTGGACATCACAAGAACCAGCAGGACTCTAGCCTTTGCAGCTTCGAAATTGCAAAAGTGAAAGACTTTGCTTTGCAAGGAGAGCCTCAGGACACCACATTTCAGAATGGTGGAAGACTGTGGATTGAGTTCATAGTCCTCAGCAATCCTGATACTTGACCCCTACAGCTAAGAGAGAAAGGAGTGTGGCTCCTTCTCTAGCTGATGGCAGATGTTGTATCATCACTATGGTGCTGGTTTTAGGCACATGCAGAATACAAGAGTTTTAGAGTTAGATAAGCTTCTGCCTCTATTTTGGAAGAAGGCATGGGAGGCCATGTAAAGCTGTAAGTGTGAAGCCAAAGGTGCAATGGAGAGCACAGAAGACGGGAGAAGCCAGGAACATAGATAATCTGAGGAAATCTGCAAGAAGTGATCAAAGCCAACCAAAAAGAAAACCCATCAGAGCTGCAACCACCACCAACGCTATAGGGGTGGAGCGACCCAAGCCCTTTGGAGTTCACATCTTATCACAGATTGCACCAGATGTTGGACATGGCACTAAGACTATGTTTGTCCTATGGATTTTGCTCTTGCATTTTGTTCCATTCTTTTTCTATCTCCAATTTGTGCCTTTTGGAATGGGAATGTTTACCTTGTGCCACTGTATTTTGGAAGTACTTAATTTTCTTTTCATTTTTACAGGAGCTCTTGGCTTAAATCTCAGAGAAGTATGGAGTAGGATATTGGATTATGGGTGTGTGATTACTGGATTAGTCCACTGATTGGTAAAGCATAGTTGTGGGTGTTGGATTATTGAAGAGTGAAACCCCAACCTGGTTGTGGGTGCAACCAACTAATAGGCTTGTAGCCTGAATAGAATATAAGGGGAAAGAAGAAAGACAGGTTTGATTCTTTCTGTCTACCTTGCCATGGACTGTTTTTCCTTTGCCACACCCCTCTTCTTGGAACCAACTGGCTATGGATTGAATCCTCTACAAACTGTGAAGTAAGATAAACTTCTCTTCCTTTTACTTGTGAGTGTTGGGTGTTTTGATCTAGCAATGAGAAAGTAACTAGACCAGGGTTTCTTAGGCCACACCCTGTCCAAGTCCTACAGAGTCTTTCTCAGGGACATGTTCATCAGAAGTCTGGGGGACTGAGCTGAGACTAATTTCTCTCAGATAACCCCAGGGAGTTAACCTCTTCTCTCTGCACTATGGGTTCAGGTAAAAGATTCTGGTCTATTGGAGTGTGCTTCAGTGTGCATGTCCTTCCTGAAATGCTCAAGCCCCACATGGGGACATCATGCAAAGTAGTCCTTCCCCCATTCTGAATTAACCCCATTCCACATTCAGAGGTTGTACAGAGTCACATGGTATATATGGAACCGTCCAGATGCTTCTTCATACTCCAGATTTACCTTTAAGGTTTGTAGGTGTAGTATCCTGCCTTCCCCTGGGCAGTGCTGGTGAAATAGCATGCATGCCACAGGGCTGCTTGTATCATTGAAACTCTAAAAAGTCCACCATCACTGCTCCTGGATGACCCTTCTAGAGCAGCAGGGAATCCACTGGGGTATATTGTCTCCTGATGGCTCATGCAGGCCCAGGAGAAACTGCTTGAGTGACTTGCATACTTTACAATTTGGTCGCTAATGACTGTCATTTCCCTGTTGTACCAAAAATAGCCTTGAAGATTCCTCTGCAGATTGTGGGCAAACAGAACATCCCACCCATGTGAGACACTGAAGGGCACTGATTCCCTAGTGATTTGGGTAGTGGTAGGTGGGCTCCAGAGGGTTAAAATCAGGCTAGAATGGAGGAGAGAGAAATCAGTGTTGGCTGGAAAGATGGAAGCCTGGGTGCTATGCAGAAGTCTTCATCGCTCAGCTTTGGGATGTGTGTGTGTGTGTGTGTGTGTGTGTACATGCGTGCACACATTTGTTTGTGAATTCTACTGGGTCAATGCCAACAGCGTGACTTCCACTCCTTCAGCAACCCTCAAGTGTCATTTCTTCTATTTGACATACTCTTCCCCTGGTGTCTGCATGGCTCACTCTTATATCCATGGCATTCTGGGGAGACGCCATCCCTGACCACCTCCCCTACAGACCCTAGGTCTTCACGTTCTCACCTTTCCCTGTCTTCTTTCCTCCAGGGATCTTGTCAATGCTTGACTTTTCCTTCTGTATGTCCTTGCCGGTCTCTATTTCTGTCCATTAAATGAGAGTTCTGTGAGTGTTGGAGGACTCGTTTGATTTAAAAAAATATTTTTATTGTAAAGATAGCAAAATCCAACAAAACAAGACAGAACAAAGCCAGTCAAAGCAATGCAGCAAAATTGGTACTGAACTTCAAAGCAGGATACCAGGAAAACAATAATAGCTAAAATAGTATATCTTGTTATCTTCTAGCTGTCCATTCTATCAGGTATAGCAAAATTAAACCCAAAACAAAAGACAATAAAACCAATGAAAACAGTGTTGAATAAAACAAAACAATTGGTCAGAATAAAGCAAAAACAGTGAAAACAATCAAAGACAAGATAGAAGGAAATCCCCCATATTTGCTATATTGCATACTGTCATCCTCCCAAGAGATGCTCCGACTGCTGGTCCCAGGCCTGCAAAATCAACCAAGCAACCAAGCATTTAGTTGCTTTACGTACCTTAGTTTCTATCAACTCAGCCTGTTCTCCGAACCATCCGGTTGGTTAATGGGTAGGGTGCAGGGTGGGGTGAGGTGGTGGCGGCCACGTGAATGGTGTTTGATTCATAGTCTCATGGGACATACTATCTGACTTTTCTCTCCCTGGAACCTGCTCGGCTTGCATGGCTTACCAGAAAGGCTGGCTTTTGTCTGATTTTTGTTGGAACCCAGGCCCTGGAACAGTCAGATGCCAGTATATGAATGAGTGAGGGCTCCTAGAGCCTGGTGTATCTAGTTACTCTTTTTCCCCCAAATTTCTGAAGTTGCTGGTTATAGACAATGTTTAGTGTCCCAGATGATTTTTGGCTTTTTTTGGCACTGGGGATTGACTCCAGGGTCTACTAAACTCTATTAAACTATATCCCTAGTCACTTATAGATATATTTTTATTTTGAGACAAGGTTGCATTAATTTACTAATTGCCTAGGCAGGACTTGAACTTATGATCCTCTTGGTACAGCCTTCCTAGAGTACTGGATTACAGGCAAGCACCAGCAGGCCTAGCTCCAGCTGTATTGCCATCTGGAGAGTCACCTAGATACAGTTCACATTAACTTTCACAGAGTAGTAGCCGGTGATGATTTACTTGGGACAGAGAACAGTGCAGCTTCTCCTGCCCTGTCCGCTCTTCCAGCCCACCAGCAGCTTCCTGTTGCTGACACATCTGTTCTCCTTCTGCACCCTTTCCTCTCAGGCTCTGAACAGAAGGCCTGTGTCTTCTCCCAGGATTTTGTCTTCCTCTGGAGACCACAGCCAATGTCTGTTCTCTCATTATGCCTCCCACTTTCAGAGACTCGTCCCCTCACCTGTGCGCAGGAGCCCCTGCCAGGGGACACATGCCTGTCAGGAGGAGCGGAGGGTGTCTTCATGGTCTCTGCGGCCACTCTTTCCTCCTTTGGTGAAGAAGACTTCATCTCCAAAACAGCTCCAAGCTCTGTTGTCCTTTCTTTCCCCAACCTGAGCTTCCCTCCCAGGACCTGAGTACTTCCTAATGTTGTTTAGGCTGGTGGCAGGGTCTCTGTCCAGGAAGCCTCTCTGTCAATTCCCCTCTCAGTGCTGTCTGCTGCCCCTTCTTCCCCATTCCCTGTGTGACCTTTCAGTGTCCAAATCACACTGAGAGACAAGACTCTTGGGGACCTTGTTCAGAGAGGAAGATACACCCATCCCTAGCTGTGGCCTCTTCTTGTCCTGTCAGCACTGCTCACCGGGCCTCTGGGTCTCAAAGCCAGGAGCGTGTTTTCCTTTGTGAAACAACCCAGAGGGGTGCTGATGCCCCATGTTTCCATGTACTCTGGAAGGTGGGACTTGCTCCCAGCAGGAAAGTGATAGAGGCAGCTGTGGGGCTACACAGGCCCACTGCGTGATGACCCGGTGAGAAGGAGCCGTCCTCTATATTTCATGTCACCACCTAGCTCTGGACCAAGGACACAAGGCAGGATCACTGTCTCAGAAGGTTCTGCAGGTGCTGGGTGTGCATCAGGAAGTGACCTTGGTGTCCAGGAAAGAAGACTGTGGTGGTGGTGGAGGGGGTGGTCAGGTGGCCGTGGGCTCCATCATCCTCAGGGGAAAGTTTCAGGGGGACCCTACCTTATGTGTGTGTTGGCTGAGCTGTGGCTCAGGTCTGCCCATGTCTTCCTTGACAATTCTGGGTAGCTTCTGTCTTCTGCCCTTGTGACTGCCCTGTGGCCCCCCATCTTTACCTGTGAGTGTTGCCGGGCGGAAGGGTGTTATACAGCGACCCCTGGTGGGGCAGGGTCCTCAGAGACCTAGGAAGAAATGGAGCAGAGCAGGTCTGTGGGAGCTCCCCCCCCCCCCCCCCGCAGAGTCTGTTGGGGTAACAGATGGAAATGAGGTTGCATCTCCACCTCCTGAGCCAAAACCAAGTTCTGTCTCAGGGAATTCATTGCCTAGTGTTGACTGTGTGGCCTCAAGTCATCTCCTGGAGGTGCAGAGGAGACCTGCCACCAGTATCAGGAGCTGCAGCAGGCAAGCTGACCAGTTCCAGGTGGTATGAGCTGACCTTGAGCTTAGGATGCAGGTGGCCTTTGATCTCCAGGGCTGTTCCTCTCCGGGTCCTGTTCACTGCGGGTCCCCAGGCCGTGATATGAGTATCAAATCCAAGAGCATGTTCCAGAATCACTCAGAGTCTGAGAAGTGACAGTCGAGAGCCTTAAAAGCACTGCTTCTGCCTGCCTCTTTAATAAGGGAGCAGCAAGAGTTCCTGTGGCATGGGGTAAGGCAGGCACCCCCAATTCTGGGCGTGCAATTCCAACTCTGTGCTGTTACTGTGTCTGTTTGGGAGTGGATTCTTAAAGAGTGACCAAAAGTATACAGTTTGAACATAAAGAGAAATTCTTATATATTTTTTCTGAATAAGACATTTCTCCCTGTAGAGAGCTGATTTTGCCTCTTTCTCTTAGACTTCCCCTAAGGTGCTGACAGGGTCACAGGGGCTGCCCAGGGCTGTGGATGTGAGTTCATACCTCATTTCCTCTTTCCCTGTTCACAGGATTCTGCGTGTCCCCAGGTTGCAAGATAAGCCAGTTAGTGTCCCCTGGTGTGTGATTGTGGACCTGCGAAAACCTACCCCCCTCTGCTGTGGAGGCACAGAAAGTCACCGAGCCATCACCTCTAAGTATGCCTTACCCAGGGCTGTCAGTGACTGATTAGGGAAGAGCCATTTTCTCAGGATTCACAGATATCATTTATGCCACTCCTGTGCATGATTCTTTTGCCAAGAGGGGAAGGATTTCACCTGCTGAGTTGTCATTGGAGGTCAGTGTGCTAGTGCTAGGGGTATTTTGCTCTCTAAGGGGGTACTTGGCAGTGTCTGGAGACATTTTTGATGGTCACACCCAAGAGAGGGAGTCCTGCTGGCACTTCCTGGGTAGTTTCCAGGCGATGATAAATACTCCACAGGGCACAAGCAGTGCCACAAAGAGGACCAGCCAGAAATGTCAGCCGAGAGAGGATGAGAACTCCACGGCACACCCTGCCCCAGTGTCTCCTGCTGTCTTCCCTCACATTGCTGCTCCCTATTCCTCCCTAGTACTCCCCCATCTCATTCCCCGCCTCTTGCATCTTCACCTCGGTTCTCTGAACCCGCCTTTCTCCAAGGTCAACTTCGCGTCATTCCGCCCCTGCCCCTTTGCGCTTCTGGCAGGAAGCGTCCACTAGAGGGCGCGCGGCTCTTCCCTGAGCTCAAAGGACCATGGCTATCCCCGAGACAAATGCAGCGTTTTAAAACTTTTTCCCCCTCATTATAGGGGATTGAATTCAGGGATTTCACACTGAATTACATCTCCAGTCCTTTTTAAAATAAAAAAAATTGAGTCAGGATTTCAGTAGTAAGTTTTTAAGTGGCCCAGGCAGGACTCAAACTTGGTGATCCGCGGACGCAGCTGCTCTCCCTGTTCAACTCCAGTCCCTGGGACAGACACTAGGGACACAGGGAGGATCTTCGTGAGAAGAGGAGGGGAAGGGAAGGTTACAGACACAGTGGCTGTATTCTCATGGTCCGAGTGCCCGTGCCCCTATGTGTGGATACTGGGCGGGGGAAGGATCCTTCCAGACTGGACATACTTCAGTGGTGTGTGGGTCACCCAAGGTCCCTCAAGCAGCGGCCTCAACTGGAAGAATCAGGAGGAATGTGACAACCACCACATTACTAATTCCCATCAGGGCCTGAGGAAACCCTTGGCTCCACTGTCACCTAGATTTCGGACCAGGAAACGGAAGTGCTTTGTCCCATCCTCCCACCCCAGCAGGGACTGGTATTTGTGTGTGAAGGTTCCTCACTGTCTCCTTAGAGGGCAGAGGAAGACTGGGATCTTCCCTAGAATCAGATAAGGGAGGAACACCTGTTCGTTCTAATAGGTGAACCCCACAGGTGGTCCCAGAGGTGGGTATGGCCAGGAGGTACACATCCTGCTGCAGACTGAGTCCATGCACCAGAGTGGGCCCGCTGAGAACCCAGCCTGCTCCCTGTGAACGTCCCCTTGAGGACTTCCGGCCGAGGCTCCTCAGTTCTATTGCTGAGCTCCTAGCCACAGCCTCCTCTTAGGTCTGAGGCCCTAAATGGTTACTTCATCCCAGTCACAAGAATCTGACTGCCCACCTTCCCCGTCAAGCTTCACGTCTTTGGAGAGAGCCTCAGCCTGCCCCTATCCCACCAAGTGTGGCTGGTTGGAAGCAGAGTCCCGGTCACACATTGTTCTCCAGGAAGGGACAGCAGGCAAGCAGAGTGGAGGAGGCCTGGCAGGGCCTATTATCAACCTTCCTGCTTGTCCGCAAGTCAACCTGGGTGAGGAGAAGCCCAGGAAATAGCTGCATTTGCTCTTGTAGATAGCAATGAAAGGTGGACTGTGGGGACTCGCAATTTAATAGGAAATATGAGGGCATTTTATTATTTTGTGTCTGCAGTCTTTTTTGACTTTGGAGCTGCGGTGCATGGATGTCACTGTCAATCTCTATCCCACCTACTTGAGGCACAGCCTTCGGATTCCACACCCTGGTGCGGGGTTGGCACTGGGGGCACCATTAACCTGACCCAGGGGACTCAAATGTTTGTACAGCTGCTGCAGGGAGATGTGCTTTGTGTTGGGAACAGTGTTCTTTCTTTCCTGGGAACTAGGACCCAGCCCCTCACTGAGAATCATTAACAGGGACCAACAGGGGAGGATTTGGTTAATTGACGTTTAGAAACATTTGTGCGACAGAAGTGTGCACAAGTCTGACAGCACCACCCCAAAGGCCTCAAGAAGTGCACACTCAACAATAAGACTTTGGCAGACCCTGCCATAGTGCATTTATCCTCCCCAACGTGCTCTTTCCCACTGAGTTATCCCAAGGCAGGTGTTTTGTAGATTAGACTACATAGCAGTGACTTTAGGTTGCTTTGATCCATTTGATTTTGGATATAGCCCAAAAGGCAGTTTTTAACAGATGATGTAAGTTTGTTCAGTTTCAGGTAATATTTATCTTGAGTCTGGCTTGGGCATGGCGAGAGTCTTGACGAGGTGAAAGGAGTCTCTGAATGCCATGGTGTGAAGTGTCCTGGTTTTAAAAGGAATGATTCAGTGAGCATGTCCTTTCCCACGGCTGGACTGGAGAACTTGCATGAGTCTGCCCAACAAACATGTGGAAAGGGCTCTGTGATGGATGGGGAGGAAGTGAAGACCCACTTTCTCCTGGGATAGCTGAGCGGAGATAACAATCTTGTGAGTACACCTAGGAGGACAAGATCAGGAGAAGGCATGGACCCAATTTCATCCCTGGGCAGAAGGACTCTGTGTGCGCGGAGCTGAGGGTCCTATGGACCTGCATCTTGAAGTAGAGATGAGCTGCTTCCCATGCACCCAAGGCCTGATCTCCCGTGGACTCAGCATCAGCCTTCCCCAGACTCTAGCATGTGCTGCTCCTGCAGGTGCTGGGTCTCTGATCTCTGCCCAGGGTGATGAGACTGGATTGTTTGTAGAGGGGTGGGTGCACCACTCATCATGAGAACCTGGGGTCAGCTCCTCCTGTCACCCAAGGAGAAGCTTGAGGGCCACTGCCCTCCTTCCCACTCGGGTAGGGACCAGGGATTTTCCTGATGAAGTGTGTCCTAGAGACTAAGTCCTTCAAACATACACCACCAAGGGTGCAGTCATGCTAGGACAATCCAGGGACACCTGGAGTAGAGGCCAAGGAGTGGTCTGGATGGGGCAGGAGGGGACAGGCAGTGCCTGCAGGGCAAGGCTGGGCACAGGCACTTTGTCTGGGACCGTGATTCTAGGATATGCATTTGGGAAGGGAACCAGCAGGGATGCAGGGAGTCCCGTGGGCTTATTTCCCCCA